AAAAAAAAAAAAAGTTTTCATCATGGGACTTCCCTGGTGGTGCAGTGGTTGAGAATTCACCTGCCAATGCAGGGGATGTGTGTTCGATCCCTGGTCCGGGAAGATCCCACATGCCGTGGAACAACCAAACCCATGCGCCACAACTACTGAGCCTGTGCTCTAGAGCCCGCAAGCCACAACTACTGAGCCTGCACAACACAACTACTGAAGCCCATGCACCTAGAGCCCATGCTCCACAACAAGAGAAGCCACCGCAATGAAAAGCCCGCTCACCACAACAAAGAGTAGCCCCCGTGCACCGCAACTAGAGAAAGCCTGTGCGCAGCAATGAAGACACAACACAGCTAAAAATAAAATATAAATAAATCAATTAAAAAAAAGTTTTCATCATGAAAAGTTACAAAAGAATTTCACTCCTATGCCCAAGAGAAAAGAAAATATACATCCACATAAAAATGTGTACACAAATGTTCATAGCAGCATTATTTATAATAGCCCAAAAGTAGAAACAACCCAAAAGTCCATAAACTAATGAATGGATAAATAAAACGTGTTACAGCCGTAAAATGCAATGTCATCCAGGCAACAGGAGGAATGAAGTATTTCCTTGAAAACATTATGCAGAGTGAAAGCAGCCAGACACAAAAAGTCATATACTGTATGAGTTAGTTTATATGAAATGTCCAAAATGGACAAATCAGAGCCAGAAGGTACATTAGTGGCTGCCAGGGGCTGGGAGGTGGGCAGGGTTGGGGAGTTGACAGCTAATGGGTACAGGTTTTCTTTAGAGGGGATGGAAATATTCTAAAATTGACTGTGGAGATGGGTACACAACTGTGAATATACTAAAAGCCATTGTACACTTTAAATGGGTGAATTGTATGGTATGTGAATTATTGAGATATCTCGATAAGCTGTTTTTCTTTTTTTTGGCGGACTCTCAACCACTGCACCACCAGGGGAGCCCATAAAATATATTTTTAAAAACCACATTTTAAAGTGGAAAAAATAAAACAACCTTGTACATATACAGATTGCTATATCAAAGCCACATGGGAACTACAAACCAAAAAACTACAATAGATACACACACAAAAAAGAAAAAGCAACCCAAATACAACACTAAAGACAGTCATCAAACCACAAGAGAAGAGAACAAAAGAAGGGAAGAAAGAAGAGCAACAAAAACAAATCCAAAACAATTAAGAAAATGGAAATAGGAACACATGTATTGATAACTACCTTAAATGTAAATGGATTAAATGCTCCAACCAAAAGACACAGACTGGTTGAATGGATACAAAAAAAGATCCACTTATATGCTGTCTACAAGAGACCCACTTCAGACCTAGGGACACATACAGACTGAAAATGAGGGGATGGAAAAAGATATACCATGCAAATGGAAAACAAAGAAAGCTAGACTAGCAATACTCATATCAGACAAAATCAACTTTAAAATAAAGACTGTTGGGGCTTCCCTGGTGGCGCACTGGTTGGGAGTCCACCTGCCAGTGCAGGGGACGCGGGTTCGTGCCCTGATCCGGGAGGATCCCGCATGCCGCGGAGCGGCTGGGCCTGTGAGCCATGGCCACTGAGCCTGTGCATCCAGAGCCTGTGCTCCGCAACGGGAGAGGCCACAGCAGTGAGAGGCCCGCGTACCGCAAAAAAGTAAAAAAATAAAAAATAAAGACTGTTACAAGAGACAAGGAAGGACACTACATAATGATCAAGGGATCAATACAAGATATAAAAATTATAAATATGTATGCACCCAACGTACAAGCACCTCAATATATAAAGCAAATACTAACAGCCATAAAGGGAGAAACTGACAGTAACACAATAATAGTGGGGGACTTTAACCCCCCACTGACACCAATGGACAGATCATCCAGACAGAAAATCAATAAGGAAACACAGATCTTAAATGACACTTTACACCAGATGGACTTAATTGATATTTATAGAACATTCCATCCAAAAGGAGCAGAAAACACATTCTTCTCAGGTGCACATGGAACATTCTCCAGGACTGATCACATGCTGGGCCACAAAGCCAGCCTCAGTAAACTTAAGAAAATTGAAATCATATCAAGCATCTTTTGTGACCACAACGCTATGAGATTAGAAATAAAAAATATAGGAAAAAAAACTGTAAAAGACACAAACTCATGGAGGCTAAACAATATGTTACTAAACAACCAATGGATCACTGAAGAAATCAGAGAGGAAATTAAGAGAGACAAATGAAAATAAAAACACGACGATCCAAAACCTATGGAATGCAGCAAAAGCAGTTCTAAGAGGGAAGTTTATGGCAACACAACCTTACCTCAGGAAACAATAAACATCTCAAATAAACAACCTAACCATACACCTAAAGCAACTAGAGAAAGAAGAATAAACAAAACCCAAAGTTAGCAGAAGGAAAGAAATCAAAGATAAGAGCAGAAATATGGGCTTCCCTCGTGGCGCAGTGGTTCAGAGTCCGCCTGCCGATGCAGGGGACACGGGTTCGTGACCCGGTCCGGGAGGATCCCACATGCCGCGGAGCGGCTAGGCCCGTGAGCCAAGGTCGCTGGGCCTGCGCGTCAGGAGCCTGTGCTCCGCAACGGGAGGGGCCGCAGCGGCGAGAGGCCCGTGTACCGCAAAAAAAAAAAAAAAAAAAAAAAAGAGCAGAAATAAATGAAACAGAAACAAAGAAAACAATAGAAAAGATCAATGAAACTAAAACCTGGTTCTTTAAAACGATAAATGAAACTGGTAAACCTTTACTAGACTCATCAGAAAAAAAAAGGGACAGGTTTCCCCTGCCAATAAAATTAGAAATGAAAAAGGAGACTACTACAAGCAACTATACACCAATAAAATGGACAACCTGGAAGAAATGGACAAATTCTTAGAAAGGTACAACTTTCCAAGACTGAACCAGGAAGAGATAGAAAATATGAACAGCACAATCATGAGTACTGAAATTGAAACTGTGATTAAAAATCTTCCAACAAACAAAAGTCCAGGACCAGATGGCTTCACAGGCAAATTCTATCAAACATTTAGAGAAGAGCTAACACCCATCCTTCTCAAACTCTTTAAAAAAAAAAACTGCAGAGGAAGGAACACTCCCATTCTACAAGGCCACCATCACCCTGATATGAAAACCAGACAAAAATACCACAAAAAAAGAAAATTACAGGCCAATATCACTGATGAACAGTGATGCAAAAATCCTCAACAAAATACTACAAACCAAATCCAATAACATGTTAAAAGGATCATACAGCATGATTAAGTAGGATTTCTCCCAGGGATGCAAGGATTCTTCTATATCTGCAAATCAACCACTATGATATACCACATCAACAGACTGAAGAATAAAAACCATATGATCATCTCAGTAGAGGCAGAAAACACTTTTGACCAAATTCAACACCCATTTATGATAAAAGCTCTCCAGAAAGTGGGCAGAGAGGGAACATACCTCAACATAATGAAGGCCATATACGACAAACCCACGGCAAACATCATTCTCAATGATGAAAAACTGAAAGCATTTCTTCTAAGATCTGGAACAAGACAAGGATGTCCACTCTCAC